CTCAGCCTCAAGCCCTGATCCAGACCTGGGCTTGGCCTCCGCCTCCTGTGGCCAACTTTCATCTGGCCCAGCGTCCATCTCAGGTTTAGGGATCTCAGAGGTGGCTATCGCTTCCAGCTTCATTACCCTGCAGAAAAGGGAGAATCAGCATGGGATCAGAGTCCCCCTTCCCACATATGACCCCCTTCCCACAATGGTCCTAAGGACCTAATGATCACTCCTACACAAACATACCCCCATTCCCTACAGGATCTAGCTAATGCTGCCTGGGCTCTCCTTGAACTCAATATCCTGCCTCAGCTTCCCAAGTAGCTGGGATTTCCGGTGCCAGGTTAACATCCTTTCTTTTCTGCCACATAGATCCTGAGAATGAAGGGCTCTCAGCTCCCTCCCTTCACCCACCAGTTCCCAGAAATCCCAACTCTAGGGACCAGCAGATGGCGCAATGGTTATGTCACTGGACTCCCTCATATTCGACAGCAGTTTGAGTCCTGGACCTAGTGGCTTAAATCTCACACTGGGCGAGTGTGTGTACGTGAAAGATCCCAAGAGGAGAATGGAGAAGAGATTGTGGTGTGCCCATTCCCCCCGGGGGGGGGGTGATTTCTCACTTTCTGTCTCTCTGGACGAGCACACGTGCCCTTTAGCAAAAATCTCTCTTTAGAAAAAGAAAAAGGAAAAAAAAAAAGAAATCCCACCTCTAGCTGCTTCATCCTTATTGGAATGTTCCTTAACCATCACAAACTTAGAAACCCCTAGGGAATTCCTTAGAAACTAACCCTGGATCTCCCCCATGCCCAGCCAGCTTCCAGGGGCCCCCTACAAAGGAGAAAAGGCCCTTAGAGAGGAGGATAAAGAATCAAGGTGCTCCAGCTCCTCCCCAAGACCTCTGTGAAGACAACAAAAGAAACTCCCACAATCCACTCTGCCTACAAGAGGTATGGTACCCCAGGGAACAGCAGAGGATTAATGACACCCCCCCTTTTCTGCCACTACAACATATGCTTCTAGGGCGAGGGAGGTATAGACCACAGACCTCCTCCATATTGTTGCCCCAGTTCCCCAGCACCCCCTGACATACATATGAAACTATAAGCCAAAGGAATGGGCAGGTGGACAGCCACATTCCAAGCCATTCCTCCCCGGCCAGTCAAATCCCCCTTCCCCCCTTCCCTTCCTCCTACTTGAGTTTACCCCCTGCTTCCCCACAGGAGAGAACGGGCTCTACTCCAGGGCTAAGTGATCATTCTGAATAGGGTGCTGTTGTAGCTACAGCTAATAAAACGTCCCCCAAGATCATCCATGCCCCTCACTTCACTTACTTCACCTCCAAAGGTGGAGTCACACTCCTTTTGCCTTCTTCTTTTTAATCCCTTTTTGCCCTTTTCCATCTCCCACTCAGGACTTCCTTTGCCCTTCTCATTCCTTAAACTCTCCCTTTTGGGTCGATCTCCTGTAGATCTAACACCCCTGTGACCTTTGGCTCTTCTATTTTCTCTACCAAGAGACAGTCAAAGAAAGCCCCCTATCCAAGTCCTAATGACTTATTTCCTGATGGCCTATCTACTCCAGTCCAACCAAATGAACCAATCAAACACCCCTCTCTTTATGCCGATTATAACGCTCCCCTCCCATAACCTATATTAAGTCTCATTAGCCAATACCCCAGGGGACACACAGACCAGCTACTCTGTGTGTAGGGGGTGATATTGACTGGCTGGACTTTTTTTCCATTACTAAAATATGACCTAGGTTTGGGGGTGGGGACCAGCAATGGCACCAGTGGGTAGTTTGGGGATGTATTTAGCTTCCATGCCATAAATGGCTTAAGTAAACCTAGCATGCTTGCTATACAATGGAAACTTCAAAACAAGAGTTCCTTCCACCTCCTTCTTTCTCAGCTAATTCTGATGCCTCAGGCTCTCCCAGGTAAGGTAAAACCGCATTGGTCCTGCATCATCAGAGGACAGGGGGAAGCCAGGCTCAGAAGACTGTAGATCCCCTGCTGGGGCCATTAGAGACCACAGGATCAACGCATTTCTTTCACAGTAGGGACACTGAAGCTTGGGCAGGTTAAGAACCTTGTCCAAGGTGATGCGCCTTGGGCGGAGCCAGACAAGAGTTAAGTTTCTCAGCTCCCAGGTCATCAGGAGACCAGTTCAGTGTATCCAGATGGTAGAACTCAGCCTGAAAGGCAAGGACAGAAGTACAGGGTCCTTGGCGGGAGTCAAAGGTCCAACTGGGCTAAGCTGACACAAAACTGGAGATGGGATTGGCAGGGGAACGCTCACTGCTTTGCCCACACTGGCAGCAACTCCTGTGCCAACGCGCAGACCAAGCACCAGACTTCCTGTGCCAGGCTGTGGGGACGACGGGCCCCAGAGTGAGCAGTTAGCCCTTGGCTCTCATCTGTACCTCCAGGCTCCCTGACCCAGCCGTTCGCGGGCCCTGGGGAATTATAAACTGGTCGTTTAGTTCAATGGTCATCTTAGCAATACCACTGCTCCTAAAAGGGGTACTCATCTGCCTTATTCAAAGCAGTTTTCCTCACTTGGGATGGAGAGTCGATTTCCAAAGGGCATTTCTACATCTCAGACAAGGATGCTTGTGGTGGAGGGTGGAGTGGAGGCAGGGAAGAAGGAAGAACTTTCCTGATCTTTTCCCCCTGTTTCCCCGGTTTCTCCTCTGCCCTTGTTCCTTTTGGGGGCACACAAAGGTTCCAAGGTCCTTACACTCAGAGAGAAGCAAGTACTGAGCGAGGGTTTCAGGACACACTAACACTGTGGGCTGGCCCTGTAACCCTTGCTCCTCACTCTGAGCACTTTCCACCCTCCAGAACAGCACCCTCCAACCTGGCTCCACACAGCGCTAACTCCCAGGGGGTGTCTAGGCTGCCCCGGCCTCCAGGGCACCGTGGGAGATGTAGTTTAGGCATCCCTTGGGCCAAGCGCCAGCAAGAGGGGCAGCATTGCTCGACTCTCGTCCCTAACCCCACCTCTTTGGGCCTTTCTTTCAGTCTCATAAATATGAATGATCACGCTGAGGAGGGGGCCATCGCAGCCATCCCTGGCATGCTGGGAGCCCCTCCACCCCCCCCCCATCCCACCGTACCCCACACACCTGAAATATTGATGCCCTTGGGGTCAAGGCTTCTCGGAACTGGAGGAGGGAGGCGAGGGTGGGAAGGGAGCAGAGACGCGGAGAGGAGAGGCGGAGACAAAGACAGCAGCTACACAAAGCTCCAAAGATGAGAGCGAAAAGGACAGGAACGGAGGCGGAAAGGAGACAAAGGCGGTCAGGGAGATGCGGGGCCCGGAGGGGATGAGAGGAGAGCGGGAGGAGGCACCAATACCGAACCACAGGCACGACGCCTCGTGACTCCGGGCCCAGCAGATGATAAAAAAAATCCTCGCACCCTCTCCCCAGGCGGAACATAAATAGAAAGCAGCGTGACACACCCCTTCTCCCCAGGGCGTGTGGGGGGTGGGGAAGGGAAGGGGTCAAGGGGAGGAGAAAGTCAGAAAAGAGGCTGGAAGAGGACACCTCAACCACAGAGACCGGGGAGGTGGAAAGGGGGTGGTCCAAGAGGGGCGTAATCGAGAAGGAGGAGGGGGTCCTCCCGGGAAGATACGGGCTGGAGGGAGATTCCGGAGGAAGCTGCCCACTTGATGGGGGTCCTGCTGGGCACCGGGCTCTGGGGACAGGTGGGAACCAAATGGCGACCGGGGAGGGGATGATGGGAAAGGGCCTGTGGACACCTGCGGCGAAGTCTGTCTCAGTTATCTAGGTCACCGGACGGGGAGGGCTGGGCCGCAGAGGGCGCAGCCGCTCTCTCTCCCCCTGGGGGGGCAGTGGCCTTCTGCTGTTCCCATTCCGCGGCGGAGGAGCGCAGCAGTCCCCGCCCTCAGCCCGGCAGCCACCCTACCTCGCCGGAGCTGGAGCCAGGGCTGGGATGCTAAGTGCAGCGGGGTGGCCCGGCGCAGGAGCCGTACGAGAGGAGGTTTACTTGGGAACCCCGAAGGTCCAATGAGGAAGATCGCGGGCCGCGCCGTCGGGTCCCGACTTAGACTTCGAATGCAAACTTGAGGCAGGCGCTGCAGCTCAGTTCCCTACGCTGGCCCGGGCGCCCAGCGGGTCAGGGGTCCGGCCGCGCGGGGGGGTCCCCGGCGCGGCCCCGGCGGCGACTCCGAGGGGCGGAGACCCCAGCGACGCCGAAGAAACCTGGGACGGATCTGGAGCGGACTCGAGTACTTCTCGGAGCTGGCCGGGGCTGGAGGTGGGTGCTGGGGGCCATACCCCCCGGCCACCGGCGCAGCTGGGTGGCCTTCAGTCGCGCTTCCGGACTCTGCCCCCTGTCGCAGCTGGGGGGCGGGTTTTGGTGCAGTGGGTAGTTGCTGCCTAGTTATCACAGGTATTCACGGTCCAGGAGTCCTGACTGCCCTGAAGCCCCCCTACTCCAAGGACCACCCCCGCAACTGAATCTCTTTTCTCCCAGCCGACCTCTAGCCGGTAAAGAGACTCGACTCTTTGGCCCTGGAACGGAAGCTGCAAAACTGACAGAGAAAATAGAACCCGAGAAGACATGGACGCTGAGAAACATCAAGAGATAGCTGAGGGGCCAGCAGGTGGCGTAGTGGTTACAACGCTGGACCCCACATGGCCAACCGCATTTGAAGTCCCGGACTGGGCTTGAAAATCATACCAGGAGCTTGTGCAAGCATGCACAAATCCCTTGAGGAGAAGAATGGAGAAGGGATTGTGCAGTGGCCATCCCTCCCGGGGGGTGATTTCTCACTTTCCCTCCTCTTACTGTCTGTCTCCCGCAAGTGCACATACCTTATGGCAAAAATCTTTCAAAATAAAAAATTAAGAAAAAGAGAGCTGAGAGATGGAAAGGAACAGGGCGAGGCCTAGTCATCTGTCTTCCCACTACTGCTTGGGTCCCTCCCAGAACAGCCTCACCCTTAGGCACCCTCAGCCCGCCCTAAAGCTCCTGGTGCAAGACCCCAGAGAAGAACCTTTCAACTCGCAGAAAGACTTCCAGCTGCACCCTGTACACAGAGCACTTGCACACAGACTTGTGCACATAGACTTTCCACTCCCTGCTAGCCCTGGTGGGTGGAAGGAAGGGTGGGAGGAGGAGTGAATGGTGAGTCTTGAACCCAAGTGGGTGCAGTGCTGCCCTTGACTCTAATAAGCTGGTGACCTAGGCTCTTAACTCCTGGGGGTCTCACACCCCACCATAAAGTGAATACCTGCAGTTCTGCCCTGTTAGGAGCCAGACAAGTGATGGACAAAGCCTTTTAGAGGCAGATGGCATAATGGTTATGCTGCTAGACTCCCACACGATCAATCGCGGTTCAAGTCCTGGAACTAGTGGCTTGAAAATCGCACCAGGAGGCCGGCAGGTGGCACAGGGTTAAGTGCTGGATTCCCACATGGCCAACTGTGGTTCAAGTCCCAGACTTGGTGGCTGGCTTTCTCACTTTCCCTCCCTCTCTCTGTCTCTCTCGGGTCAAATTAAAAAGAATAACAAATAAAATAAGTAATTCTTAGAAAGAAAGAAAGAAAGAAAACCACACTGGCATGTGTGCATACATGCCTAAGATCCTGGGAAAAGGCCCTTTAGAAACTGCAAAGTGCAGGGCCAGCAGGTTGCATAGTGGTTAAGGCTCTGGATTCACACATGTTTCATCATGGTTCAAATCTGGACCTGGGCGGCTTGAGACTCATGCTAGCAACTGTGAGTGTGTGTGTGTGTGCGTGTGTGCATGCATGTACATGTGTCCGTGCCCAGAATCCCAAGAGGAGAATGGAGGAGAAGGGATTGCACATGGCCATCTGGGGTGGGGGTGATTTTCTGCTCTCTGTTTCTGTCTCTCTGGCAAGCGCACATACCCTATAGCAAAACTCTCAAAGCAAACAAAAACAAAGGAAAGAATAACTGCAAAGTGCTCTAGAGTCTGCTGAGGATGGGACACTCTTCCCCCAAGGGCTGCCCAGTTCTTGGTCTTCCCTCCTTCCTGCCAGAGTTTACTCTCACCTGTCTCATTCCATTTCGTGTTTTCTGAGGTAATAACTCCATAACTTGGTAAACTGACCCCACTGGACTGCTAATGTGATGCAATGGGAGAGGATGTTCTTGGACTCCCACACACATAGCCATGTCCAGGGCTAAAGGGATAAGAATCAGGATATGGAATCCTAGGCCAGGTAGGCAAAGAGCAACTGACAACATTCAACCTTTGAAAAAATGGGACTTGCCCCCATTTCAGATGTCTAAAAATGCCAACGCACTGTGCATCTCACAACCTGCAGTTACAGTGGCGTATGATGCACCAAGGGAAGGCACTTCAAAAAGTCCAGGCTTTCAAGGAAAAGGTCACTCGTGGACAAAGGGAGATGCAGTCATATTCTAATCCTGCCCCTTTCACCAGGAGCCCCATTTACTGCCACCAGAAAACTCTTGGATTTGTCCTCCAAAAAAAAAATAATAATAGATAAATTTAAATAGATAAATTTAAAAAAATTATCATCATTATTTTTTAAATTTGCTATAAGGCATGCATGCTCACCACAGAGAGACAGAGAGAGAAAGTGAGAAAGCAAGCCATCAGATCTGGGACTCGAACTGCAGTTGGCCATGTGGGAGTCCAGCACCTTAATCACCACACCACATGCTGGGCCAAGATAAATAGTTCTTTAAGAAAAAGTGATGTACACTTACTTAAAAAAATGATGACTTTAGGCAACCAGCAGTTGGTGTAAAGACTATGTCGCTGGACTCCTATGTAGTCGACTGCGGTTCAAGTCCCAGACCTGGCAGCTTAACCTCCTGCCAGGTAAGTGTGCATGTGTGCCCAAGATCCCGAGAGGAGAATGGAGGAGAAGGGATTGTGGTGTGGCCATCCTCCCTGGGGGGTGATTTCTCGCTTTCTGTCTCTGTCTCTGTCTCTGTCTTTCTGGTGAGCGCATGCACCCTAAAGCAAAAATCTCTCAAAAATAAATAAAAAAATAAATAATGACTTTAATGAATGTGCTGTCCCTTCCAGCGAGAGAGAACAAGTGACTTTCAGCATCCTTAAGAGCTCAGAGATTGCAAGAAGTCGGGCTACTGTGCTCTGGAACCAGTCAAGGTTGGCTGGAAATGAGGGAGAGCCTTTGCTGGGCAGGCCTGGCTTGCAAGGCCACTTTTGACTCACTATTGGCCAATGATGTGGTGTGAGCCACAGAGTCACTTGGAATGTTTACGAAGCACATTGACTTAGTCCTCTCAACGCTGTAAGGGAATTGGCACTCTTAGTCATTTGTCACATGAGGAAAGTAGATTTTAAAGGGTTCCACGGGGCCAGCAGCGGTGTGGTGGTTAAGGTATTAGATTCCCACATGGCCAACCATGGTTTGAATCCCAGACCTGGTGTCTTGCTTTCTGACCTTCCCTTTCTTTCTTTTTTTTTCGGGGGGGAGGGAGGTTTTTGCTATAGGGCGCATGAGCTTGCCAGAAAGAGAGAAAGAGAGAGACAGAAAGGGAGAAATCACCCCCAGGGGGGATGACCACGCAGCAATCCCTTCTCCTCCATTCTCCTCTTGGGATCTTGGGCACGCATGCACACGCACCCGGCGTGAGTTTAAGCCACCCGGTCCAGGACTTGAACCATGGTTGACTACATGGGAGTCCAGCGACATAGCCATTACACTAACTGCTGGTCCCTCACTTTCCCTTTCTATCTCTCTGGTGAATTCACATGTCCTGAAGCAAATGAATGATAATAACAATAATAGAAAATTTTTAAAAAGAGTTCCATGAACTAGATCTTAAAGTTGGCAAAGGGCATTGGCTCTCATTGCAAACTCAGGCCCCACTGCCCACTCAGCCCTCGGGGGGGAATGAGACAACCTACAGGAAAGTACTTGGCACATTATACAGCATCGAGTCTGTGTCAGTGTTATTAATATACTAGGGTAAGTCTTTGCTCAGGTTGAATTTTGTAAATGCCCTTGTGTACATGCTGAGACCTTCGGGTTCCACATGTTGACTCATACCCTCTGGCGCTGGTTTGTTTATTTGGGTCTTTTCTCTGGGAGAGCCTATGTGCCCCCTTTCTGGGCCAGGTATGCTTTACTGCTGGCAGGTGGCCCTGCGATCCTGGTCATTTGGTTGGGTCCACCCTCTATGGCAGCTCCTCCCATATCACCTACTTCCTTTGTGACTATCCCCCCATAGTGAGTCACCCCTAGACTCCTGAAGCCCTCTCCATTCTAGGATTCTGGTAACCAGGACTTCCTCCTCCAGATTTTTGACTTTGCGTTCTCTCCAGAACTTCTCCCTCTCCAGCTGTGTGTGCCTTCTCTCACCTCATCCAGTGACTTAACTATCCCAGCAGTTCAGCAATCTATGAATCAGGTCTTGACTTTCCAGCCTGTCTCCAGCTGCAATGCAACATCTGCATTTGGATAACAGCAGCAAAATAAAAGATGTGACGCTTTCCAGGAACTGAGCGGGATACCTCGTGCTTTCCAATCTTCACAGCCAGCTAGGGGTCAAAGGGTTAAGTAATTGGCCCAAAGTTATAGGGCCAGTGAGTACCTAAGAGTCTTACTCAGAATACCGTAATAGGACTGAAAGGAATCAGATCCTCCCAGAAGTCAGGGTGTCCCAGATACCACATACGCACGGGCGAGGCATGATGCCATGGTTTTGTCATCTGTAAAGAGGACGTAGCACCTAACTTC